CCCCCCCCCCGGTTCTGGGTATTACCGAAGAAGAGGTATTTGGTCTTCCCTCCCTTCATAGGAGAAAATGCCTTTTCTACAATATTGCCTGTACTGATGCGTCGGACATTGCCTTAGAAGAGGCATTCAACTTCTCCCAAAAAGGAATGCCTCTTCTGAGTTTCCTGCAACATATCTAAAACACAGCATTCCCCCCCCCTCGTTTTTTATTTACATGCAGCTAAATCCATTCAATCAGTTTAGAAGACATACAATTAAGGGACTAAGATCTCAGCGATGGCCCCGATTCCCTGCACCAGCTCTTGAGGGGCTGGCAGATATACATACCCAGGTCAACAGGCGCTCCTTCCTTGCTCTCACGTAGCTGCTAATGACCCGGCGGATCCGGCTCTGCTGGTCTTCAGATTGAGGACACCAAGTTCTGATCATCGGTCCACAGAGTCCAGTAGTGGCTCCTCTGACTAGTAGATCTCTGGGGTTCTCAATATGGCATAGCTCGTTTTAGGCAGGGGTGCCAGGATTTGAACGCAGGACCCTCTGAGCACAAAACGTGCGCTTCTCCTCCAAACTGCCTTGGGGTTGTGTGGGGATGGACGTGGGGAACATGCAAAAAGTCCCCCTCCCAGTTTGCTCAGAGTATGCCTGGCCTGGAAGCTCCAAGGTATCTTGAACAAACTGGAATTTGATCCAGGCAAGATGCAGGACAGATGAGAGTGGTCTTGATGCACTGCCTTCTAGGGGCCTCTGTTTGGGCACTGTGTGAAACAGGATGCTGGACAACATGGCCCGATCCAGTACAGCTTCCCCTTTAAGATCCACTAGCAGTCTCTCTTATAAATTACATCTGCTTCGCAGGCTGCATCTGTGGCGTCCTTGCTTATAGGGAAACGGTTTTACCCTTAAGCACTCTCTGCGTATATAAACTTGGTAATTTTCTGCTGCCACCCGGAATTAAAAATTCCAATTTCTCTCTCCTTTGGTAGTATGACCTAGGGTCTGGGCACTTCAGAGGACTATGTGGCCCTGAGGAAGGACTGTACTGATTTCAGGGATGAGTTTAAACAAAATTTGATTTATTTAATAAAGAACAAAATAGGTTTCTGGTTATTTTGAAGAGTTGCTAAAGAAAGGAACTTGTAAAAATAACTGGCAAAGCTTGGTGTTACAGTCTCCCAACCTTCAAACTCCACTCTGATAGGATTATACACTCAGTATACTCTCTCTCTCATATATACAGCCACACAGGCTAGTCTCTTTGTTTTATTCACACAGAATGGAATCAACTCTCTTAGTCACACAGACTAAACTGTTGGTCTTATTCAAACAGAATTAGACTCAAAATCCCATAGTCACACAGACTATGCTCACTCTTCAAACTTCACATACAAAATCCTTCATAACTCTCAGAGTCACACAGAGTCTCTTCAAAACTCTTCCATACTTGTCTCTCTCATATCACAGAACCTCCTCATAGACACACACAGAGAATCCTCTCAGACACCCCTCCTCCCTCACTCTCAGTCAGCAGCCAACCAAAATACACTCATCTCCCTCTATCACTCTTCTTTCAGTACTGCAGTCAAACTAAACATTTAAAGAAACACACACCCCAAAACATGACATCATGACAGCATCCATTTCTAGAGGATGGAATCTAGGCTGTTGGAAACTCTGTGCTTGATTACTGTGACCTGGTCTACCCGGGGCTGCCCTTGAAGATGATTAGGAATCTTTTCCAAGAGCGCAGACAGCTACTGTCTACTTCTTGTTAAATGTTACTGGAAGCATCTGAACTGTATGGGCCTTTTGGAGGTACAATCTCCAGCACCGATTGGCTGAGGTGGTCTGACGGACGGAACACAGTCCAAAATCACAGAGAGCTAAGGTTAAAGAATGTCTGCAGTCCAGTATCTAGGAGGGAAGACAGAGTTGATGGTGTGACAGGAGTAAAACCTCACACAAGCCATTAAGGCTTGGTTGGACAAGTCCAGGAATGGCAGGGGATTGCAGGAGGCAGATCAGAAAGGTTCAGAGTAGAGAAGGAAAGAGCGAGAGTCCAGTAGCCCCTTACAGACTAACACAATTTGTGGCAGGGTGTGAGCTTTCATGAGTCGCTGCTCACTTCTTCACAAATGTTGTTAGTTTTTAAGGTGCTACTGGACTCTGACTCTTTTCTACTGCTACCGACTAACACGGCTTCCCATCTTGATCTATCTCCAGAGTTATGAAGAGACCGAGAATAGGCAGGTTAAAATGGGGGCTTTAGTAGATCTAAGGAACATTTAGACTTAAATCAATCAGTCAATTCTGGTTGGCTTGCTGGAAACATGGGCTGAACGGCCTCTGCGGAAAATGGTTCAAGCCCAACCTGTCCGCCAGTCCCATCTTCTCCCCACCACCACCACCTTAACCCCCGCATCACAGCCACAAAACCCACAGCCGGGCAGGAGGGGAAGGGTTTTTTTCTCTCCACCTTTTATTTAGTTTTTTTTTTAATAGACTAAGAGCAAGTATATGAAAATCGCCAGCCAAAGCTCTTGAGAACACAAAAAAAACTCCCAACATCCACCCCCAAAAAAGGTCCTTTTGCTTGTTCGTCGACGTGGTTTTTGCCCCAGAAAGAAAAGTGTCCGTGCGTCTTGCATAGGTCTGGTCTTCACAGAAGACAAAGGGAGGAATCGCCCCAAAAGAACAAAACACCAAAAAAAGAAGAGAGAAATTAAAAAAAAGGACTCTGGCTTACGCAGGCAGGCCGGCGCCCGCCCCGTGCCCACCCACTACGAGAACAGTTTATGATAATCTATAGACACGGATAATAGAGCCTCTCTCTGTACACGACACATCGCGATATGTACAGGTACCCCAGAGCTAGGGTACCACACTTCCCAGGTCGAGAGTTACTGGGTGTACAGTGCCCCCCCGGTCACTGGGTTGGGCGGGGTGCACCCCTCTCCAAACAGGGCCCAGCTCTCCCTCTCAAAAGCATTGCCCGAGTGCGATGTCCTCGGGTTCTGGCCCAAGCCGGCCGAGGTCTTCAAGGCGATCCGTTGCTCCGGGTGTTCACTGCCGGCCCGTGCCTCGGGCACCCAAAGAGACGGGCAGACGGCCTATTGCTCCGGTGACCCGTGGTCCTTAGGTCACTGTTCGGCTGGGAGGCCCAGAGGCTGAACACGCCCTCCGGCAGGGCACCAAACAGCCCCCTCCCCTCTAAAGTCCACAGGCAGGTGGGGCTCCCTCCCTGTCGCAGTAGGCAACACCCCACAGCCTCCCCTCCCCCCAGCAATGGGGCAGACGGGGCAGGTGAAAGAGAGGCAGGCAGGCTGCGGTGGTGACATTCCTTTCACTGGGGGAGGGAGGGGGTGGCGCCGCCGGGAAAAGGTTCACGCTCCGCCACCGCGGCACTCCCCGTCTGCCCGTCCCGCTGCCTCCTCGCAGATACGCCAGTTTAAATATATCATTTCTTAATTGTCTGTCCTTTCACAACGTCAAGGGAGTCACTGGGGAGGGAGCTGGGTCCACGTGGGCGGCTCGGTGTTCTCCCTCGGCACCCCACGCAGCTAGGAGGCCAAGAGGGTCATGAGGAAGAGGGCGGCGGCCACGGCCAGGGGCAAGTGTTCCCGTTTGGGGCTGGTCCCGCTGATGCTCTTCTCCAGCTTGGGCATCTCGGGGTTAAAGTTATCTGCAAAAAGGGGAGGGGGGAGAGAGAAGAGGGGGAGGGGGGGAGAAAGGAAGGGCGATAAGACCAGAGCAGGGCGAGGGGCACCCTCTCCTCCCCGCTAGCGCCTCCTGCTTGGGCACCTCCTGTGTTTTTCGGGGAGAGGGGGAACCCTGCTGCAGCTCCAAGGCTCGATCCAATTCGCTAGGGGGGGCTCCACCAGATTTGGAGAAGCTCGCGGGCCTCACCCAGCAGGGGGCGCTGCCAACGCAGAGAGGGATGCTGGGCGCCAGCAGGGGAAACAAGCTTCAGGAAGCTCCCTCCGCCAGCAGGGGGCGCTGTGAGTCTCACTCACCCAAGTCCTCGATCTTCACCTCTGGCCCTATAGTGAACTGCGGGAGGGTCGGGACCGCCTTCTCCCCAGAGTGCGACGCTGCAGGCAGGAGAGGGGGGAGAGGGTTATGCGCTGGAGGGGGAAGGGGAGGGACCATGCTCCCGTCTCCCTCCCCACAGCCCCACCTCTTCCCTTCTCTCAAAATGTCACCTCCCAGATACGTTTTGACCCTCCCCCTGCCCGTAAACTCATACAACCATTCCGGGTCCCCCGAAAGGCATTAAAGGAGAGTCGAAAGGCCCATGCGACACAGAGTGTAAGGTGGGGAGGAAATGAACATGCACAAGGATTCCCACTGGATAGGCAAACGGACATGAACACCACCAGCAAACAGCAGGCAAACTCAGGCAACACGTTACTGGTGCATTATGGGGGTGAACATCAAGAACAGACAGAGTCAGATGGGCAGCCGTGTCTGTCCGAAGCAACAGAACAAAGTTTGAGTCCAGTGGCGCCTTTAAGACCAACAGAGTTTAATTCTGGGTGTCAGCTTTTGTGTGCAGGCACAATTTCCCCCTGTGAGAATTAATACCAGGAGATTAGCACAAAAACTCATGAATAGGAGGCCGTTCAGAATAACACAAATAGGGAGTTTTGTCAAGGAGGGGAATCCCTGTTCCCGCCTCCAGTTTCTTCATCTCTTCAATCTTCTTTATATCTGAAGAAGTGTGCGTGTGCACAAAAGCTTATACCCAGAATTAAAACTCGGTTGGTCTCAGAGGTGCCCGTGGACTCAAACCTTTGTTCTATCAAGAACAGATAGGTGCACACTAAAGTGTGCATGACAGGAAAGTGCGTGACACCATTTGCAGGTTGGAGATGCGCTTGTGACAGTCAAAGGTAGCCCAAACAAGGCCACAAAAGTGACTAGTCCGCTAATATTTTTTTTTACACCCTCCTACCTTTCTTGTCTATATATCAAATTCTGAACACAACCCTAGAATGAGGATCAAAAAATCCACACAATGGGGCTACGTAGAGATGGTGGGGGAGGATATTTCCAGCAAACTCAGGAGAACCTCCAGGTATGAACAATACCTAAAGCTTTTTAAAAAACCTTTTTAAAACTTCCAAACCAGACAAGGTTCCTCCTCCATTCCCAACAGAGATCACAGTTGGCATAAACTTTTGAGGGGAGAAAGCAGAGGCAGGCGGATAGGGCAATGGAAAGAAGAAGGAGGAGGAGGAGGAGGAGAGGGGTTTATACCCTGCCCTTCACTACCCAAAGGAGTCTCAGAGCTGCTTACAATCTCCTTTCCTTTCCCCTCCCCACAAGACACCCTGTGAGGTAGGTGGGACTGAGAGAGCTCTTTCAAGAACTGCTCCTGAGAGAACAGCTCTGGGAGAACTTGTGACTGACCCAAGGTCACACCAGCAGCTGCATGTGGAGAAGTGGGGAATCAAACCCGGTTCTCCCGGATTAGAGTCTGCGCTCCTAACCACTACACCAAACTGGCTCACAAGGAGCGGTGGGTTGAGGCAGCAGCAAAGAGGGCGAGGAGGCAGTGGTAGAACTTGCAGCCATCGAAGAGCGAGAGTCCAGTACCACCTTCAAAAACTGTGGCAGGGTAGGGGCTTTGCTGAGTCACCGCTCGCTTCTTCAGGTACGTCTTCAGACAGACTAACACGGCTACCCCATCTCGACCTATCCCTAATCAGCTAGGCATGGGCAGGAGAGGGAGGATCAGAACAGAAAGCTTGCCACGTTCTCTGCTTCAAGAACCTTGCTGTTGGGTGCACACTGATGAGGGGGTGGGCGGATGGGAAAGGCCGTTTCCCCCCCCCCCCCGACCAGTCCATATCAACTCACAGGAAGTAGCGTCAATGACAGGAGGAAGTCTGAAGCAAAGAAGGATGGACAACGCTCCTTCTGCTTCAACCCTCCTTCCCTTCTGATGCCCAGCTGACTGTGGAGGGAGGAAGAGGCACCAAGAAATGTCAGGAGAAGTGGCGGCAAAATGGTGGGAGAAGAGAGAAACTGGAGGTAAAAGGGGTTCTCCTCCCTGACAAAACTCCCTACTCCTGTCATACTCGTGTTGGCCCCGCTGGTGGACCTCCTGGTGGCACCTGGTATTTTTGGCCACTGTGTGACACACAGGGTGCGTTCAGATGGGGTGTTTCAGCCGGCATAAACTGTACCAGTTGGAACTGGTGCAGTTTATGCCGGCTGAAACGCGATCACACTTACCTCCTGTCTGCGGAGCCCATCGCTGTATGCCCGTTTACACACAGTGGGCGTCGGCGGTTTGGGTTTTTTTTACTCAGTTTGCGCATGTGCATAGGCAGCCATCCACAGAATGGCGATCTTCGTGCATGTGCAAAACACCCCGTCCCGAAAAGCATGCCCTGAAGAGAGGACTTATCTTTAAAGTTTAAAGAGCAAACTGGCCTCCCTGAGGTCCCGGACTCCTCTAAAACACTAAACTAAGGACCTTTTCTGTTTAAAAAAAAACAAACGCCGGGGCGAAGCTTCGCCCAAGCGCATATCGCCGACCTAAAAAAAAAAAAAAGGCAGGCGAAAATTGGAAGCCTCGGGCTTCCGAACGAAAGTGGCTCTACAATGGTGGAGGGGGGGTAAAGCGATTACAACTGTTGCACTCAGGATACCACCACTTGGAGACCTAGTGGCAGAATACAACGGTGTAAAGCCCTTTGCAACGGTTAGGGACGGAAGGCAGATGTTCGCTGTGTGAACACCAGTAAGTACACCGATTCCAACCGGCACCTGTACAGTTGCAAATGCCCCGTCTGAATGCACCCAGAGTGTTGGACTGGATGGGCCACTGGCCTGATCAAACAATGGCTTCCCTGATGTTCTTGGTGCTTGGGGGGTGGCAAGAGTGGGAGGGCTTCTGGAGTTCTGGCCCCGCTGGTGGACCTCCCGGTGGCATCTGGGCTTTTGGCCACTGTGTGACACAGAGTGTGGAACTGGATGGGCCATTGGCCTGATCCAACATGGCTTCCCTTATGTCCTGTACAGCTACCTATTCATGAAAGTGTTCTTGCTCCTCTCCGGGTATTAATTCTCACAGGGGAAAATGTGTCTGGCTGTTAATGTCTGATTTTCATGATCTTGTCTTTCAGGGCAGTGTCATCACAAGGTGGTGTGGGGAAGTCCTGTGGCTCACGCTCCTCAACGCGCCCCATGTGGTGAAGGCAAAAGCCAAAATTCTGTTGTACGAAGACAGATCAAGATGGGTAGCCCGTGTTAGTCTGTCTGTAGCAGCAGCAAAGAGCAAGAGTCCAGGAGCCCCTTAAAGACTAACAAAATTTGCGGCAGGGGACAGAGCTTTTGTGACTCACTGCTCCACTTCTTCAGATCCGAAGAAGTGAGCAGTGACTCACAAAAGCTCGTCCCCTGCCACATATCTTGTTAGTCTATAAGGGACTACTGGATATATGAGCGCAGGTTATCCGTCTTCCCTCTGGCTGTACCTCTACTTCACCACATGGAGGCGCGTTAAGGATGAGCAACTATGGAGATACCGAAAAGGATTCATCACCTTGTGGCAGCATTTCCCCATGAAGCAACCGATGACTCAGATTCAACCTCAGGTGTGTGTGTAGGCTGCGGTTGCACTTATCGTGGGTGAAGAAGGAGGCCAGAGAATCATGTTGCGCACTTTCCTTCGATCGCAGCATTCTGGCCAAACGGCAGCTTTTTTAAAAAAATACCCAAGTTTCTAGTCCTCATGGTTATGCAGAAGAGATTGACCAAAACACATCAGAGATAACCTGTCAAAACTGGAGGGACAGAGTGATATTTCCTAGAGGCTGGGGTGGGGTGGGGTGGGAGCTCACTGCCCCAATGCAGCTTTGGTGGCAAACCCCCCCCCCCCGACTACAGTCAGGTTTTCACATGCAAAAAAATGAAATGGTAGAACATGTTACACCGTTGCAGGTGGACGATCCCATTTTTGGAATGCTCCCTGTACCAACATATCCTTGCAACCAGGGGGCAGGGGTGGGACCTTTATTTTATTTACTTTATGCAATTTTATTTAATTTGTGTAATCTGAATCTTGTGCAAACCACTCTTCCACGCTCCCTCTAGGTTTTGGAGTCTTGTGAGTAAAAATTCTACTTTGTGAGCTACTGGCATTAAAGTTGTGAGCGGGCAATCTGGCTATTGCCTAAATTAGTTTGCTCTGGAGCCATCCTTCCTGAGCCAAGACAAAAATCTGTGAGCCGGAGGCCAAAAAACTGTGAGCGAGCTCACACTAACTCAGTTTAGAGGGAACACTCCTCATGGGGGAGGAGAGGTCTATCTCAGGCCTTTAGCCGTGGCATCTAAATGGAGCCTCCAGCGGCAGAGGCAGTATACCTCTAAGTACAAGATGTTGGTAAAACAGCAAGGAAATTCTGCTGCCATTGCAGTGTAGTTATGGGTATTCTGCTAGTGTCTGGCTGGCAGCTGTTGGAAACAGGATGCTGTATTAGATGGTCTCTTATGTTCCTTGTTCTCTGACAGAGTTGTATTTACACCCTAATGCTTTATTTATTTAGAAAGGTTCAGTGCCACCTCTCCAGAGACCTGCTGCACTGCTCATGAGGGTATTTATTTGATGTTACATTTCTAAAATTAAATCAGCGATGCTGCTAGCCCTTTTCATTTCATAGGGGGAATCGTAGGATACACGTTTTTTAAATGATAAAAATAAAATCCCCTTGAGGACTAGAAACGTGCTAGAAAGCAATCCGTGAAAACGGCAATTCTCAGCATGTTGAATGTGTTGCGTGCGGCCAGACTGCAAAGCACCAAAGTGTGGAGCACAAACACGCGCCTAGGTGGGGCCATGTGTGATTGTGCGCCGCTGCCACAGAATGTGGGAAACAGGAGAGGCGAACCGTTACACTTGGTGATGTTGCGAGCTTCTGCGTCCCTGAGAAGTTTCTCAACTCAGAGCCGCACCTTACAAATAAATACGTGAGGGGACACATGCAATGCATTTCAAGCCATGCACAGAGAACTCTTGGAGAGCAGTGGGGATGCGTCCTAGGGGCTGGCGCATGCAGCCAAGGATGGGGAGGAGGGAGACACTCACTAGAAGCACAGCAGACGAAGACTCTCATTCGGAGGCAGGCCCGGCGGTGGTTGTGCGTCGGAGTCGCTGAAAAAGGAACGGAGGAAAAGTTTGCAAACTAGAAACAAGGGCGCTGAAATTTCGGGTCGATTCGCGGATGACGAAAAATCTTCTAGGCCATTCACAAGGCGTCTCCCCGCACACCGGAGCAGCGCATCATTGTTCAACAGCTGTGGGAAGAGGCATTTTCTTTTTCTGACACTGGAGGGAATGCCTCTTCTGAGATAGGCGATATCCACGGATACCAAGCAGGACCCCAGGAAGAGGTATTTGCCTTCTCCCTCCCACGGGAAGGAAGGAATACCTTTGCTAAGACGGCACCCGCGGAGACCCACGGAGGCATCGCCAAAAGACAAAGCACCCTAATTCTGTTAGCAACTATGGTTTATACAGATTGAATCGTTTCTAATTAAATCAATTAGAACTCATACGGGCAATTGAGTATGATTTCCCGAATCAAGCGGCAGCCCTCGCAGAAAGCCGAACCACCAACCCTCCCTGAAAGTAACAACAGGGACATCCTTGCATTCAGGCGAGGACCCTAGACCCACAACGAGGGCCACCGCCTAGGTCCCCCCACTCTACCTCCCGCTGCTACGAACGACTCATATCTTCCCCACTCGTATTCATTTCCTCTGCAACAGCCTAACCTGCTCTGCTTTGTGATGCAGGACGTCTTAGCAAATTGATCATTACCGTTTCTTTTCTCTTCTCCGAAGAAAAGAACTTAATCTTTAGTAAAACGTTTAATCTCCCAGTCGGATCTGATTGTATTCATTACAGAACAGCTGCAACCCAAATGCATTTAATAGGCGATTATGCAAAGGGAGCGCGGGACTGGCAGTTGGGTTTGTTCTTTTTTTATCGGGGGTGGGGGATGAATTTAAAAAATGCAAAGCTTTTACTGCCCCTCCCCCCAAAAAAACTTTGCAGCATTTCAGTCCTGGAAGGACTGTGAAGATGCAGCCCAGCCTGGGACCAATGTTTTGGCAGAGGTGCCCCCTGGTGGACTGTAGATGATGCGCCCGCTTGGCTCAGCAAGAATCACGGGGGAAGGGGGCAGAGGAAGGGGGAAGAATAAGGAGGCTGTGGAGGGAAGAATTTGAGAGGCAGTACGGTGTAATGGTCAGACTGCTGGACTCGAAGTGGGGAGACCCGGGTCCAAAGCTCCACTCGGCCATTTGGTAACCCAATTCACATCTTGGCAGCCTACAACCCCAGAAAGGGCTTTTGCGGGATTACAGTGGGGAAAAGACCATGTATACCATGGGGAGCTACCTGGAGGAGGGACAGGAGGAAAAAGCAACAGAATTTCCCCCCAAAAGGAACGGACTGGGATGGACTCGACACTCTTCGCCATCTGGACCTCCCTGTTCCATTGGAGAAATGATAGTGTTTGAAGGTAACTCCCCCCAAATAAGCAACTTTACCCACAAACCTGTTTAGGATTCAGTAGCTAGGGTTGCCAACTCCAGGCTGGGAAACTCCTGGATATTTGGGGGAGGAGCCTGGGGAGGCAGGACCTCAGCAGGGATGTGATGCAGCAGAGTCAACCCTCCAAAGCATCCTTTTCTCCAGGGGAACTGATCTCTGTCATTCTGGGGAAACTCCAGCCCCCACCTGGAGGTTGGCAACCCTAGGAGTACCATTACAACTGCCCTGAAGGCGATTTTCAAGGTAGGAACTTTCAAGCGTCAAAGCTGTCTGAAGAAGTGACCTGAAAACTCTTGAAACCTCATCTTCTTCTGGGTCTCTAAGGTGCCACCAGACTCTCTCTTCTACGACAGGCCAACACGGCTACCCTCCTGAAATTACATTCACATTCTGGCATTTTCCTGTCGAGGGTGAGGTCAAGGGTCACCTAGTAATCTTACAGTTCTCAGAGCCCAATTAGGGAAAAAGTGAGA